CAACTCTTGGGCTACTCTTTTATCAACAAATAGTGGGATTCACCATCACATAATAATGCCCCCATGGATGAAAGGGCGAGCATGTTTGGTGGGATGGGGATTCGAACCTGCGACCCTCAGATTGCGAGTCGAGTGCCCTAACCACCTGGCCATGCTGGGCCTGACTTGAATGGACAATACGATGTTGACATGTTTTCTAACACTGACAGCAGGTGTGCATGTCAAATATCCCATCACAGTCAGAGAAAGTATCCATGTAAGATACCCCGTGCATGTCATATTTCCCATCCAAGTCATAGCAGCTGTGTATATCATATTCTGCATTCAAGTCAGTCCTGCTCTGACTAGAATGTAGAATATGACATGATGTAGACAGAAAATCTAATGTAAACAATGATTCTTAATTTCATGAGAATTTGGAAGAAGGGTCTGATGATTTTGTATTCTGAAGTACAATAACAAAGGGAGAAATAAGAAAGTGTGAATGTATTGCATTAAAGTATTATTTTTTGGCACAAAAACCAGTAAAATTTTGACTTTTGCATGTATTCATTGCAGTAGTTTTCAATTTGAAGAAAGATATATTCAGGACAAACAAAACATTAAAATTATGATCAATCACCATTTGAGATTTGAAAGAATTCTGTTAAAATTAATCAACATAATAAGGAAAGCTAAGTTTCCAAGATTGATGGAAGTTGAGATTAACAAATCCTCACCGATCTTCAAGGAACTCCTTAAGTTGTTTTCGTACTCAGACTAGAGGATGCATTCTGCTAAAACATCCATTTAAATTAGATAGCAAGGAACCCACTTTTCAAAAAATAAAAGTTTGGAGATGGCTTGAATTAGTAATGAAGAAAACTTTACTGTAAATGTACAACATTTCAACAAGATTATGTTGAAACATCGTATATTTATAATAACAATTTCTTCGTTACTCATTTAAGCCATCTTCAAACCCTTAAAACATCCATTGTTGACAAGAGTAAACCAATGACATTATCTTACATTCAGCCAATCTTCTCACAGCACTTTGACATCTTTTCATCAGGTGTCATCAGACCAGTAGTCTCTTTCTTTGATAAAAATATCAACCAGATAGTGACTTTTTTAAGTTTTAAGTATATTTTTTAAGATATATCTTTAATATTTTCATTTAGATGTGTGCTAACCATGATGATGCAATTTCTATAAAGTTCATTATGATGTAGTAATCAAGAAGCTTTGTGAAATACCTAGAAACAAGTGTACAATATAAATACAAGTGAGGAGTTAATGAGAAGTTAGTGAAGTATCTGGTGAGTGATTAAGGTCAGTGATAGTGGTAAGGGTTATCATGTATATAGACTTACCCAACTGAACACAAAATAATAAACAACCCTATAGTTTGAGCACTTTTGAAAGGTGGACCTTTCTTTTTCAGGGGCAAACAGAATTGATGAACTGTGTACTTGTACAAGTAAGTTTATTTGGACAATAGGAGTCGTACCATTAGGAAGTAATTTCTATTCAAAAGTTGTTTGTGAGCTTAGGCCTACAAGTTGTGTCACTTTGAACATAGCCTCTAGAAATGTTATAAACCAAGTCCTTATTGTTACATGGACTGGACTTGCCATTATTTTTACCAAATAATCCAAAAGAACCAACACAAAGGTAGAACTTATGGTTTCAAGTGCACCACTTTTAGGAAAGTGTGTGTGTGTGTATAACTACATTACTGTTCATTTGTTTGGTAACATTGTTAAAATATAATAAACAAATGGGTGAAATAAAAAAGAAATAAAATGATTTTAAAATTTATTGTATTGTTATGCCAGTCCTAATATAATGTGATTCTTAAGCTGCTGATTTTATTTTGATCATAATAATAAAAAAAAATAGAAAATAAAAACAATAAAATTTAAATTTTTAAAATTAAAAACAATAAAATGAAAATCAACATGTTTATTATAAACAGTATAAAAACAAACTGACATTAGCAATGGATTTATGATGGGGGAAAACAAAGACAGTTGATAAAACACAAAACATTTTATGTACAAAATTTAAATGTTTGGGAATACACTCATTCCATCTGAAAATCGTGTTATGAAGATGATTATTAACTAAAGCTAAAATAGCAGAATCACTAGTTTACGTAGTTATTATGAGAAGTGATAAACAGAAAGATAAAACAAAAACAAAGGATTATAGATATATTGCACAACAGTTGAGTTGAAGTGTGAAAATTTAGAACTATTTTAGATCTAAAGAGCTTTGTGGGTCATTAAGAGTTGGGCAGTCTTAGCTACAAGTAAGCTTTCTTTAAGGTAGAGTTCAAGGTCTGAAGATCCTGTGGTAAGGACAGAGAAATCGTTAAATGAAATATTGTTCATAATTTGAACAGATGGATGAGTGGCTGGGCTTAAGTAGTAAATGGTTGATTCTGTTAGATACTCCTAAATGTTAACAGACTAGTTTTTAAGTGGTGTTTTGTTTTGCCAATGTATGTGACCTTACAGTCACTATACATATATTCATACACGAGCTACAAACATAGAAGTTTAGGTAGTTGATCTCCTCTCTAATAAAAAAACTTCTACTCTTAAATTCAGCTCAGACTAATATACAGACCTAGCCTCCACATTAAAAACTTATTTCAATACAAATGACACTTCAACTCAACTATTGTGCAATATATCTATAATTCTTTGTTTATTGTGTATTATCCTTCTGTTTACCACTTCTCATAATAACTAAGTAAGCTAGTGATTTTGATATTTTAGTATTAGTTAATAATCATCTTCATAACACAATTTTCAGTCTTCACTGAAGATAGAATGAGTGTTTTCTGAAAGGTTTGAAACTTGTACATAAAATGTTTTGTGTTTTATCACCTGTCTTCATCTTCATTATCAAACTGACATTAGTTTTGCAATAAGATTATAAAATTAAACATTACTTATATGAAATTCATGACGACGTAAGATTGTACAAAATATTCAACTTCTGTTCTCGAACATAAACATAATTTAAAAGGATTACATTCTAAAAATTAACCTTGGTTTAACATTTCTGTGAAGAGCTGTAGAAGCAAGGAGCTGCAAATTGACAACTTTATAAAAATCAGTTTATCAATGGTTAAGTGATTTGGTATTGTGTGATATTCTGTTTTTAAATATTTCGTAGCAAAGCTCATATTTCATCATGTATCCCACTTAGTTTTAGACTTTTTTTTTGTACAACAAATGTACTTGTGCAACTTCTAGTGTAAAGGATAAAAAAATTGCATGATTACACTGAAATGTTTGGTATCAAATCCAAAAAAAGAATACAAAAATAGTTTTTGTTATACCCAAAATAAAATTGTAAAGAGATTATCAAATTGTTTTAAAATATTTAAAAAGGCCTCAAAATAAAGAACATTAATGTATAATAAAAATTAATATAGTATTGGAAATAATTATGGAAATGGTGAATTAAAAAGGTACATACTATAGGAGTGCCACCCCTATAATATATGAAAATGAACTGCACCAGAATACAGTCAAGTTATGATAGTTTACACTGTCATTGGTTGTCATCAAACCAATCAAGTGTTGCACCAGAATACAGTCAAGTGTTATAGGTTACACTATGGTTGGTTGTCATCAAACCAATCAAAGATGTTGCACTAAAATACAGTCAAGTATTTATAATTTACACTGTGGTTGGTTGTTTTGAAACCAATCGAAAGTGTTGCACCAAAATACAGTCAAGTGTTGCACCAGAATATAGTCAAGTGTTGACTGTTTACACTATGGTTAGTTGTCATCAAACCAATCAAATGTGTTGCACCAGAATACAGTCAAGTGTTAATAGGTTACACTATGGTTGGTTGTCATCAAACCAATCAAAAGTGTTGCACTAAAACACAGTCAAGTATTTATAATTTACACTATGGTTGGTTGTCATCAAACCAATCGAAAGTGTTGCACCAAAATACAGTCAAGTGTTGCACCAGAATATAGTCAAGTGTTGATAGGTTACACTATGGTTAGTTGTCATCAAACCAATCAAATGTTTTGCACCAGAATACAGTCAAGTGTTGACAGGTTACACTGTCATTGGTTGTCATGAAACCAATCTAATGCGCTGCACCAGAATACAGTCAAGTGTTGATAGTTTACACTATTGTTGGTTATCATCAAAACCAATCAAATGTGTTGATAGTTTACACTGTCATTGGTTGTCATCAAACCAATCAAGTGTTGCACCAGAATACAGTCAAGTGTTGATAGTTTACACTGTGGTTGGTTGTCATCAAACCAATCAAATGTATTGCACCAGAATACAGTCAAGTGTTGATAGTTTACACTGTCATTGGTTGTCATCAAACCAATCATGTTTTGCACCAGAATACAGTCAAGTGTTGATAGATTACACTATGTTTGGTTGTCATCAAACCAATCAAAAGTGTTGCACTAAAATACAGTCAAGTATTTATAATTTACACTGTGGTTGGTTGTTTTGAAACCAATCAAGTGTTGCACTAGAATACAGTCAAGTGTTGATAGTTTACACAATGATTGGTTGTCATCAATAAGTGTCACAACATTATAAAGCCTATTTTTTTACAGGCAGATGTACTATGCCCAGTATTAGTACAGTAATTCAGTCATGGCTCCCAGTGCTGAAATACCATGACAAGTGTGTAGAAATCAAAGTTTTGGTGATAAAGTATATTCCACTGCAAAATTGTGTGGCAAGACTCCCATGTTGCAGTAAAAGCTGCATGTAGAATTCTGATGAGTGTATATGAAACTAGCACTGTTAAGGTCAAGTTCAAACACCAAAGCTTTACAGAAGTGATGTTAAATATCTTAGGGTATGTTATGAAAAAGTTGACAGTCCAGTACAGATTTTCCCCATGACCTTGAATTAAATAAAGGTCTTAATGCTGCCTCAAAAACAGTAAAATATATACTGTGTTTTCAACACACATGTAATTGCTCAAAAACTAAAAGATTAAAATAGAAATTGGACCACAGACAGTGTAATGAACAATGTTGCAGATATATGCTGTTATAGATGAATACAAGTTTGAATTATTCAGTAACAATCAATGACATACAATAGAATGATATCATAATCTAGGTATAGTGAAGTGCAGTGGATGATTAGTAGAAGTCTGGGGTTGGTGATCTACTCAAAACTGATGTCACCCTGACTGCTGGAAAATACAAGTACCCTCTGATCCAGTATAACATTTCTTCTGGAACATGATTCATCTTCGGAGGACAAGAGCAAAGATCCCAAGCTTGCCATAGATGTGGTGAAAGAACATCTCAATGATAAAATAGCTGGTTGATCACTTATAACCATGACTTGGCCTTCACAAATTCTCAATATGAATATTCTTGAGGATGTATGGGCTTATATAAAAACTTAAGAAGCAACTTGGCTGAATTGTGGAGAGTAATACAGGACAATATTTCACAATTATACAGTGATAAACTGTATAACATCATCATCATCTACTTATACTTACTCCTGTACATCTACTGCTTGTGTGTTTTCATAATTATTTCCATTACTGTATAATTTTGCAAGAGAGTATTTACTACTTCCCTTCTTCTGGCTCGTTATCCTCCTGGATGAGTTTGTTGTGAATCTTCATCAGACCTTTAAAATACTTGACTGTCTTCACGCGTAGTTCAAGAGTGGCATCCTCATCACATACAAAAATTGCCTGACGATGAAGTTGAAATGCAGAAATTGTCCACATATGACTCACCCCCTCTTCAACAGCCTTGTAAAGGGCAAAGGACTTGTGTGCCCCACTGATTATGACCAACACCTAAGTGAAGAAAATAATTAAAATATTCAAAGTAAATAGTGACTTAAAGATAAGTGTGACTTAAGATCAAGATACCAGTCTGTTTACTATCTGCAAAAGAATGAAATTCAAGACAAAGACTTTGATGTAAACTGTACAAAGTTAAAATTTATGTTACAAAAAATACTCAAACTGAATTTGCAGAGTTTCGTGCAAAGCTACAAAAGTGCTATCCATAATTTAAAAGTGATAGACTAGACAGAAGGCAACTAGTCATCATCACGTACTGTCAACCCTTAGGCTTCTCTTCTAAGACTGACTAGTGGGATTTGACCATCATTATAGTAACGCATCCTTTGATCCAATGTGAGAATTTTGTTATTGTTGGTAAAGGGCTTCAGATTCACAGCGTGGCACACTAATCACTGGGCCATACTCAGTGTATACTTTAAACTGAACAACTTACTTTGCTATCCATGCAAGTTAAGTGTACAGTTCACAGCATGGCACACTAATCACTGGGCCATACTCAGCTCATGTATACTTTAAACTAAGCAACTTACTTTGCTATCCATGCAAGTTAAGTGTACAGTTCACAGCGTGGCACACTAATCACTGGGCCATACTCAGTGTATACTTTAAACTAAGCAACTTACTTTGCTATCCATGCAAGTTAAGTGTACAGTTCACAGCCTCAGAGAAAATAATGCCAAATTGGAAATTACTGTTACTTCTAAACTTTTTTACTCACAGCTTTTTCACCTATTCATATAAATTCTGTGGTTAAGTTACTATAAGGAGACAGCAGCCCTAAAAACAAATAATCTAGTAATGAACGTAACTAACAAGTTAGTTACATTAAACATGAAACAGAATTTTTTCACAAGAACACAACACCAAAACATGAACACGTTTAATCTGCTAGCAGATGGAAACTAGAAGAAAATTGTCTCTTGATTAAGATGTTTCTAAATTTTATAACCAAACGAGATTTTGTACAGATTTAAATATCAAAAATATGAGACTGGCCAGTGAAATCCTGGTTTGCTTAAACTTTCTAAAAATTTAAATGGTGAAAAACATTAGAGCAAAATCACAACAGTTCAAAATGAGTGTCCAAAGTTACTATGTAAAATAATCAAAACACTCTACAAACAAAACTATCATTACTTATGTGAATCAACATGATCCAGTATATATACAAACCTCTCTAGCATCCACAACCATTCCTACATCTACAAAACTATCATTACTTATGTGAATCAACGTGATCCAGTATATATACAAACATCTCTAGCATCCATGACCATTCCTACATCTACAAAACACTCTACAAACAAAACTATCATTACTTATGTGAATCAACATGATCCAGTATATATAACAAACCTCTCTAGCATCCATGACCA